TTATATATTGCTTGGTTTTTTAATGGTAGTCTAGAGTCTAGGAGAGATATTAATTAATTAATAACGATGATTAAAACGATCTCTATCATAACTTATCGGCGTGTTTCTCAATTCGATCGTTCTTATTCAGCATTTTCATGAGGTAATGGGAATCCAATTTCGTCATGTCATATTTGACGCGGACGTTGCACTTTCGAATATAAAAAATCCTAGTCTTCCAAGAAATATTCGATATTAGTCACGATATTATATATATATATATAAACGCCTCATTATATTCATACAATTATGTAAGAGTCACGCGTTTGAAAAAGTTAGTATACAGACAAAAAGATTGTTGCACAGTCCAGAACAAATAATGTCAAAGCGCAAAACCTTTCGATGAATTTGAGCAGACAGTTTCGTTAACTTTTTAATCAGTTTCTTGACATTCTGAACGAAATAATCATGAGACTGTTTAATTAATATGCTCGGTCGCAGCTTTTAATTTCATTTTTTTTTTTAAATTAATTATTATGATTAAGATAGCAAAAATTTGCATTCGCCAAAATCCGTCAACAAAACATTTTTAAGATAGGATTTAAAAATAAATGAGCCAAAAAAGATAAAATTAATTTGAAATTTATATGTACACACGTGTCGCAGATTCCTGTTTTTATTTCAGTTGGATATTCTCACTTCTCAATTATGATTATAACAATTTATAATAAGTTATTACTTAATTAACTTTAAGTATACATATTTTATGTTGTAAATATTGTTCTAGTCACTTTGAAACTTTCGATAAAATCACATTTATACTAAGTAAAAAATTCTATTGTAGATAATTTAAATTTCACAATTTACGTAACTTCGCAATAATCATTTGAAATCAACTTTAATAAAGCCAGTCAAAATTGTTTTGAAATTTTCTAACTACGTCCGTAGCGGTATATTCTTCTCGTTTAAACACTTATTCATCCTGACTATTAGAGTCAATCAAATGTATGATAGTGAGAAATGATAGTGAGATCTACAAAGTGAAAGAGATACATTGAGAAAAACCAAGAGTAGTAGATAAAAAAGAAAAATTAGATGAATATATAATATAAACGTGCATTACGGCATTACATTTGCTATATAAAGCGATATGACTTTCAATTTTTCTTTGCTTTACATTACATCACAATGATCGCAATTTACGTACATTTTTATATTAAAAAAATCGAGCATCACTTCAATCTATTGTATGCGAAAAATATATTGTGATAAAATTTTTGAATTAATTATTATTCCTTTCATGAAAAATCAGTATAATTGATTTTGATCATAATTAAAAATGAGCAGAAAATAATACAAAAGAGCTATGTGTTAAAAAGTTTGTTTTATAATAATTTTATTGACAACATATTATTTATTCATCTACAAACATAAAAATTACAATAGTTATATCATCAAAATGATTTTTGTTATTTTCTTCTAAATTTTGAGAGAATAAATAATTTTTATTAATTTTTATTTCTTACATATTATTGTTCGTTTTTATCGTTGTCTTCCTTCCTGTTTAAATTAAAACATATTTGAATCAATAATCATTTGTTAATGTTTTAATACATTTTTTAATGAAATAAAAAGAGACAAGTAAAATTTAACTCTTTATCATTCAGACAAAAAACAAATTACGCATATTTTGAATTATGTTATTGTTACATAAATTTGACAAAAAATAAAAAAATAATCTCTTTTTTGAGAAAGAGATGACGGTATGGCACAATAAAATTAAAATTTTTAATAAAAAGTGTATTGTGCCAATGTAACTACAAAGTTCCGCTATGCCTATGTTGTGGATAAGAATTTCCTAAACACGTGATCATAACGTGATGAAGATGAATGGTCAATGGAATTGTCAACACGAGTGCACATGTTGCAAGCGTGACTTCGTAATTTGTGGCTCCTTCACAATTCTTGTTGTAGAAAAGAGAAAGGAATGATCTGGAATTTTAAGCTGTTTGTGAATCTTAAATTTAATATTTAAAAAGTTACTTATATCGCAGATATAAAAAATAGCTTTTATAGACATTTCACTCAATTATTCAATAATTATGAGAAAAAATAACATGAAGAATTCTCAATGATTTCTGAGAGCAGATTAAATTACCAATAGATTTTTATTTATATATAGATTATTATTTGTAATTTCTTATCCTAATAAAAATTTGACTTGCATTTACTAACACGTGATAAACACGATGAGATAACAACTTATAAATTTAACAAACTATGATAAACTATTAGATTAACTGCTGTTTTAATGGTTTCTTTTCCGAAAACTGCTTTTGCAATTAGAGTCCGACCTTGTTTAGGATTACATCATTCCCGCTTTTCTCAGCGCCAATGAGAATGTTCTTAGCTGCATTCGCTCTCACATGCTGAGTACACGGCCAGATAACGAATTGCGATTAATTTGATATTCGATCTACATACATACAGATTCTACACGAATTGCAAATGGCAAAAGAAAAAAGTCAACGCGAATACTCAAAAAGATTCACCGGTGCTTTCTGCGCTGAATGTTTTTGTACAATGATCGACATCGCAGAGCAACGCGCGTAAGTGACGAAACAAAAGTAAAAAAGAGGAAAATTACTGATTTTGAAATAGAACAGCATAATGTAGGGGAAAGTTCACTACCTACAAGTAGAAAACTGATGTCGATAGAGAACGAAATTCGTCGTAAAATATTTACAATGAACAAGTTTTTCGTGTAAAAAATTATAGAATAGCAAAATTTATAGAATCTTTAGAATTTTTCTATTGTCGCGTTTTTCAGTTTAAAAAACAATTATGTAGAAAATTGAAATTTGTGTGTCAAAAGACAATTTAAAAAATTGTTTTCTTCGATATTTCGCGCAGACTTGGTTACTTTCAATCCAACGTTTTCAGAACACAAAGCACATGTTTGTCGGATGATAAATTGCTGCCAGCAAGGTGTGCATATTTTTAAAGCCGATTACGGCCAGCAAGGTGTGCATAAGTACTCGATGCGTCAGGGAATTAATACAACTGCCACATGATATATTATCAGACATGAAAAATATTTTGAATGCATTCTCCATGTGTATTTTTGTGGTGACAAAATATACAAGTCAAAACACGGTTGAATCATTTAATTCATAAATAGATGCAGATGATACATTACTTAGCTCTTTTAATCGAATAAATGTAGTTAGTTTTTTAAAAACTCGTTAATGGAATTTTTAATAAGTCGCAAATGAATTCAAATCACCTAACACGTTATGAACATGTTACGAACACATGTCTTTTTGCGTCGTTTTAAACGACATTTCAATCAACAATATTGAATTTTTTTCAATTAATTGCTTATCTCCGTGCGTTTTTGTAAGTGATATATTAAGAGCATATGCTAGGTTTATGTAAATATGTTTATGTAAATTGCAATATTGAATAAAATATGTGAGCAGAGTTGCTTCTATCAAAATTAGATTAGTCGGAATTTTCCGTCGTTGATTTTTACGTGACGCTTCGGAAGTCAAAGATTGAATGAGAAAAAATGGTGACATCCGTATAAGTTATCATTAACACAACATTGTTTTGTCTGCATTATAAAACAGTCTGGAAATGTGGGGATTCTCCGTCGAATAGTCATTGGAAACACGCAGCGCGTCACACCCGATGCGTGTCGAGCAACCTTGAAAAAAGCGAGGTCAATGAAATGACACGTATTGCTTTTTTTTTCTAAGAAATCAGTATACGGTACTTCAATTTACCAACAAAATTCTGAAATTTATCAGCGATATCATTATCGTGTCATATTTAGAATGGGATTGTCTCTCCTTATTCATTTTTTCCATGATCACGCATCTTTCACGTGTTTCAACGAGCGGAATCGATACCGACGGCCCTACGCAAGAAACTTCCCTGGATCTTCACGATCTTTGATCTCACAATCAATGGTTACATACTTGTGTTTTTCGTTTCAGGACAAGTTTTGCCTGGTCAGTTTCGGGGTATTCATATTATCTCGAAAAGATCGTCCTAAAGAAAGCAGTAGAAAATAACATTAAAACAAGAAAGTATCCTTTAAAAAACTTTGCAAAACGTATCTTAATATTTAATATACTTCGAAATCTATTTAAATTCGAAATTTATTTAATTATGTTGCAATATTTAACTGTTGTCTAGGCACATGTTTCTATTTACATATTTTCTCAAAATCTCTTGTGGAAGAATTTCGCTTTACTATTGTTAAATGTATATTGTATTTAGAATATTTAGAAAAAACATTCATTATACATTTTTATGAAGTAAATAATTCCAAACTTATGAAATCTCGTGGAAAGGTTTAGGAGTTATACTTTTATTTTATTGCAAGATAAAAAACTATAAACTTTTCGAAATGTAAATTTAATGGAAATACTTTGCAATTGAATAAAATTAGTAATGCATAATTTTTTAATGTAAACGTTTAAATTTTGTAGTTAAAAAAAGTATACACTGTCAATTTGATTCGCAGAGTAAAATTATTTACATTAAATTTACATTAAACTTAAATGTTTACATTAGCAAAATTATAAGGAAGGAGTTTCGCTCAATTGCAGAAAAATTATTGAAGTTATCGTGATGCAAACTCTGCTTCCGTTGCATAATTCTATTAATAATGCAATGAGGGTATCAATTAAATTATGCTTCCAGAGGTCGAGAGTGAGGAACGAATGTGTACGTGTCGAAAGTCTCGTCTCTGCGATGTCGTGCACGCATTTCCTCACGTCGACCCTTTTTTCCTTTTTCTTAGTATTCACGCGGGAAGTTCATCTCGAACCTCCGAGTTTTGTGCCATCGACCAATACAGCATCAGCTCCGATGGAAGTTGCCGTTTTGGACTAACTCGGAGCATGCCAACATGCTCCGTGTAGCTGATCGTGGTCATAAGTTCGGAGTCGGTAGAGGTGGTTAATCGTCCGGTAGTTGTTAGACAACCGACCGCAGCCAGTTCAGTAGTCGAGCAAACATCGAGACGCAACGATACTCCATCTAGCAGTTCTTCCACTCACGTGTTGTATATTATTGATCGTGAACGTTTGTTTGGCGAAACGAGACGCGAAGAATGGGAATATTTCGCGAATTTCCAATAGTTTTCAATCTTTATAAAAAGTACAGTTAGCCATCGTCTATATTTCCGAAATCGCGTCCATACATACTTCCTGGTGATTAGGAAATAGACGCCGAATCCTCCGTTACACTAACATCAAGGTGAGCGCTATGTGAAATTACACGCATTTATAAAAATATTTATATGAAAAATATAGAGGTCTTGATTTTAATAGAATTTCCGCTCTTATCTAATTTGAAAATGTTACTCCAATAAATTAGGCCAATTCAAGCGAGATCAATCGAAACCATGTTTCATGCCGGAAATGCATTACAGATAGATGTCTGTTTATATATAGCGTGTTCCGATTTTTAATTTATGAATGTCATATAATGAGTATTTATTTGCAGTACATTAATAATTAATTCAGTAATACGATATGAGACATTAAAACTATTACGTATACTTCAAAAGAAATTATTTATGTGAATATCATAGTCAATTTATTTTATTATAATTTTAAAACTCAATAATACTTTCAGCGTTATTTAATATATAATTTAATTTATAAAATATGTTAATCAATTTTTTTAATTAGACAAATTAGTAGATTCAATTACAATAAGTACGAATCTATAGTTTGTACTAAAAATTTTTGTACATTGGTAAAAAAGTAATCTTAGAGAGTCGATTTATTCTTAATATAGTTTAATTTAAACGACTTGGCCAATTAGTGATCAATGTTTAAGTTCAAAGTTCTTTGCTCTACATTATTTACAAACAATTTTAATACACATATATATA